TGTGTGTGTGTGTGTGTGTGTGTGTGTGTGTGTGTGTGTGTGTGTGTATGGTCCATTTTAAGCAAATTTTTATGAAGGATGTAAAGTCATTGTCTAGATTATTATTATTATTATTTTTTGCATGTGTATTTGTTCCAGCTCCATTTGTTGAAAAGACTCTTTGCTTCATTGTATTGCATTTACTCCTTTGTCAACAATCAGTCAACTGTATTTATGTGGTTCTGTTTTTAGGCTCTCCCGTTCTGTTCTGTTGAAATATTTTGTCTGCTTGTTCACTAGTACTGCACTCCCTTGACTGTAGCTTTGTAGTAAGTCTTGAAATCAGACAGGGTCAGTCCTCTCACTTGGTTTTTTTTCAATACTAGTATATTGCATTAATTGATTTTTTAAAGTTGAACTAGCCTTATACACCTGGCATAAGTTCTATTTGATCATGGTGCATAATTCTCTTTTACACCTTTTTTTTTTTTTTTTAGATTTGATTTGCTAGTATTTTGTTGAGGATTTTTGCATCTATATTCATTTTAGATACTAGCTAGTGGTTTTCTAGTAATGTCTTTGTCTGGTTTTCTTCTCAGGGTAATGTTGGCCTCATAGAATGAGTTAGGAAGTATTCCCTCTGCTCTATTCTATGAAAAAGATTGTAGAGAATAGGTATTATTTTTTTTTTTAAATGTTTGGTAGAATTCATAGTGAACCCATCTGGGCCTGGTGCTTTATATTCTGGAAGGTTATTATTGATTCAATTTCTTTAATAGATACAGGCTTATTCAAGTAGTCTGCTTCTTGTGTGAATTTTGCCAGGTTGTGTCTTTCAAAGAATTGGTGCCCTTTATCTAAGTTATCTGAGGGTATAGAGTTAGTTGTCCATGGGAATTGTAATAACGTCCCTTGTTTCATTTCTGATATTAGCAATTTGTGCCTTCTCTTTTTTTCTTAGTTAGCCTGGTTAGTGGCTTATTAATTTTTTTTATCTTTATAAAGAACGAGCTTTTGATCTTATCAATTTTTCTATTGATTTCCTGTTTTCAATTTTATTGATTTCCACTCTAATTCTTATTATTTCCTTTCTTCTGCGTACTTTAGATTTAATTTGCTCTTCTTTTTCTAGTTTCCTAAGGTGGGAGCTTAGATGGTTGGTTTTAGATATTTCTTTTTTTTTCTAACATGTATATTCAATGCTAAAATTTTCCTTTAAGCATTTGTGGCTTACACTGCATCCCACAAATTTGGTAAGTTGTGTTTCATTTTCATTTAGTGCAAAGTACTGTTTAATTTCTCTTGATATTTCTTTTTTGACCCACGTGTTATGTAGCGGTGTATTGTTTAATCTTCAAGTATTTTGGGATTGTCCAGCTGGCTTCCCATTAATGATTTCAAGTTTAATCCCACTGT